GTGAGGATGAAAGTGGTGAATGTTGACTGGACAGCAGTTGGTTGGTTGGCAGCGAGGTTGCGACAATGAAAGGAGGGCCGGTGTGGGGTTCAGCAATAGCAAGGGCTGCTGGACAAGCAGGTGAAAGAGGAGGTTTAGTTGGAGATCGGCTAGAAGATTAGGAAGGTCGAAAACATGTTGGGGCAAACATGATGTTTGATGGGATGGAAATACGTGACGAGAGAGACAATAAGGGTTGATTGGGGGAGTTGGCTACTAAATCAGTAGATTCATGTTGTAAGCGGCAGCAAGGAGTGGAAGGCATGCTTGGGAGGCAACAGCAGATGGAAGCTAATCCGGAAGGCGGGAGCAAAGTGGGTTGAGGAAGAACTCCGAAAGGCTGTCCGGCAGCTGGGACAAGGGAGGTATAGGTTGTGGCGATGTGAAAGTCGAGAATAATCACCACCTCAGAGCGAGATATAATCGAAACACCACTCGTCTTTGGATACAACCCTAAGAGGGGCAATGGGGGGCGCTAGATGGTTGTCCCGATAGAACATAGTAAAAACTGAAACCGTAAACCATAAAGCACACATAGATTCTAGTAGAAAGCTCTGAGAGTGAGACCCCTTCCTATTTGAGCGAAAGCTACCTTTCTTAGATTCAGCTAGCCCTAACTCCAGCCCAACATAACTAGTCCGGTTCAGCCAGAAAACTACAACATCAGTCTCTCGAAGTTGATGGAACTTCTACCTCATTCGTAGAAGTTTATGGTTGCACTTTATTGGTGACAAAGTTGTAATCTCCCAGAGATGAAGGATCTTCTACTGTGGCGTTAGTAGCACTTGGATCCCACTGTCGATTGCACTATCTCCCAAAACACCGGAATGTTCTCCACTTGAGAGTATACATCCATATCGATCCAGCCTATCGGAGTACACTACTGAACTCCACTGGAACTTCGTGTCACGTATATTCAAATGAATTCTCCCAAAGTAACTCGTGATTTGCTCAATCTGATGTAAAGTGAGGGTAACCTGAATCTCCCGACACGGTGGTGGCCATGGCGGTAAGGTAACTTTGTGATATCCTAAAGCGCTCTCTGTCATGATTGTCTATGTCCTATCATCCTCAATTGCCACTAGAACTGATCCCACCAACGCTTCTCGGCTGGCAAGAGTATGTGATCTCGGACTCTACAGAAGGCAGGAGTATGATACGCTTGTCGTATTTGATGACAGAGTGGGTGTTCTTATACCCATCATGTCGAGTCTTGCAATCATACTGCCACAGTCCCCCTAGCAAAAAGTGACAGTCATCAATGGGCACCATGCACACAACACTTGAAACTGCAGCTGACTTCCAATCGAGAACTTCATTAGACATTTGTCAATGCTAATCATGTTCTTCTTCAACCACGTCAAAGAATACGACTGAAAATGCCTATGAGTCATAAGGCTCAATTTCTCCACAATCTATATAGACGCCTCGTTCTTGTTGCTCCCACCATCAATAATGAGACTGTCAATCTTTGCTTTCACAATGCAAAGGGTGTAAAATATGTTACGACGAAGCCAATGTGACCCCCTTGTATCCTCAGTCTGTAGGATCTGTCGAACCACAAGCATCTCACCCTCGTCTGGTGAAAAATGGTACACCTCAATTTGTTCTTCAGCTTCCTCCTCATCGTTAACCTCCTCCACTGCAACATGCCCACTCGTCGGGTAACTGGAGGCGAAGTGCCCAAATCCATGGCATCTGCAGCACTTTCGGGTTGGAACTGTAGCAAATGCGTTGCTCTTCTCAAGTTTCTTCTCGCTCTGAGTGGCTCTGTCCTTATCACGATCCGTCTTCTCAACTCCCGGAGGCATACTCCTGTTGATGTCTCTCATTATCGATGGTTGTCTGAATGATGGTGGTTGGCTGCTCTGTTCTGTGTTGTCTCTTAACTTTCAATGCTAAGATCTAGACATCTCAAATTGACTAATAAGTTTGCAATTGCACAACATTGCTGATAACAGTCTTCAAACACCCCATATATTGAGCTATGGTATGTTACTCTGGCTCGACCAACTCACAATTCATTTGCAAGTGGTCAAATTATGTCTAAACTCCTCCATTGATAGGTGTCTTTGTTGTAGGCGATGGAGTTACAAAAATATATTCTCACAGTAATGAGGAAGGTATTTTCTCTGCATCTCCTTTCTCATCTTTTCTCATGCAGTAATTTAATCATTATATTCTCTCTTTTGCTGCCTCTGTAAGTTTTTCCATCACAAAGAGGCAGTCTTTCTTAGTTTGATGGCTGCAACTTTTACCCTATTATCTTCTGGCACATCTTTATACTCAAAGATCCTCTCAACTGACTGAAGTCATTCGAGGAAATCGTCTGGATCAATACCTCCATCGAAACTTCGATAGATCCATTTGTACAGTGAAATCTTTATATCCTCCATATGTTGCCTCCTCTGTCGACCTCCTCTGATAATGAATTTCAAAGTGTCGAGGTCTATCTTCCTTATCACCGAAGTCATCCTTATGGAAGAAATTTAGATCTTCGTCCTTTTCTCCCCTTCAACTCTCCATATCATGATAGAGGGTAATCTCCCCCTAGGTTCCATCAACAATCTACGTGATCCTTGACTGAAGATGATGGGACTCTCGTTGTATCTCTTCACAGGTAGGCTCTGGCTCATATCACCTTGGTGGCATGGTTAGGGTTTGGTATTTGTGAGAGTGGAAAGGGTATTTGGTGGAAAGAAAAAATTTTGGTGGAGATGGTTTAGTTATGGCGGATGCTAGGAAACCCTAGAATATGAGTAAAATTAGGCTAGCTCTAACACCTATTGATACCAAAGTTAACCTAAACCACAAGGAAATGCAAATCTTGTTGTTGAAATTCAGATGAGTTACAATCGAGACTCTTGAAAATAGAAAATAAATAACAACAAACACAACGACACCCTAAGTTGATGACGAAAGCGATGAATGTCGACTGGACAGTAGTTGGTTGGTTAGTTAGTTGAGAGGTTGCGGTGGTGGAAGGAGGGTCGATGTGGGGTGTGACAACAGCAAGAAAGATAGGCTGAAAGGGTGGGAAAGTTGGAAACGGGTTGTGGCAAATCTGTTGTTCGATGGGATGGCATTAGGTGACAGAAAAGAGGGTAGGTACGGATTGAATGGGGAAGTTGGCGATTAAAGCAGTAGGTGCGGGTTGTAGGTGGCAGCAAGGAGTGGGAGACGGGTCAGCGATAGATGGAGACTGATCTAGAAGTTGGCAGCGAAGTGGACTGCGAACGAACAGGCACAAAAGGCTAGCTAGCGACTACAGAAGGGGAGTTGCAGGTTGTGGGGAATGGAAAAGTCAAGAATAATCACCACCTCGGAGCGAGATACACCCAGAGCACCACTCTTCCTCGTATACAACTTTAAGAAGGAAAATAGAGGATGTCGACAACTTTCCTGACAAAAAACACAGTAAAAAATGATCCTAAAACAAAAAACATACATAAATACTAGTAGATAGCTTGGAAAGGTTATACCCCTTCCTATTTGAGTGGTAGCCCTCTTTCCTATTGTCAGCTGGCCCTAAGTCCAGGCCAGCTAAACCCCCAGTTGAATCGGTCCAGCTCAGCCAGGAAAGCAGCCAAGCATTATTTGGGTTAACTCTAATAGCAATTAGGATTATATAAATAAAATGAAGTGCATCAAGAGTTTTATACTTACGAGAATATTGTATAGAAAGTAAATTTTTTAAAAATGCAATTAGATTGATACTTTAATATGGATCTAAATGTTGGGCGGTAAAAAAGTCATCAATATCTAAATTAGTAAAAATGAGAATATCAAGTTAGTGTGTGACAAAACTACAGAAAAAAAATTAAGTAGTTAATATATTAGAAAAAAAGGCCTACAAGAAGGCTATTGAAAATAAGCTTTAGATGATTTGGGCATGTAAAACTATAGATATCATCGGAATAATACATAAAATTAGCATCAGAGCAACCAAAAGCTCATGATTACTAATAAAATGTCTCAAAGCAGGGTTGTGCAAACAAACGTCATAGCTAAATGACTTCAATTTTGATAACCTGTGTGATAGATTTATGAAATCCTAACAAATTTATTTCTATATTTTTCCTGAATTTTTTACCCTTGCCCATCATCTTTGAAGCCCATTGTATTACTTTTTAAATCTTTGAAGCTTCAATGATTGTTATCTCATAAGTATTTAAAGTCAAAAAGACAATTATCTCATCTATTTACGATCATCATCATCCACCTTGTGGAGTAAATAAATTCAGAATATAGATTATCTTATGAAAATAATAATACTTGAATCATAATCTTCCTTGATGTTAACCCACACAAATGAATGCATGAGCATTAATCAATAATCGAGAGCATCTCTTGAAGGTGCCGAGTGTAGTAGTTAACCTAAGGAAGTTTAGTCCCTTTAAGAGGTTAATCAACTAAGATTCTCAACTTGACTTAACTTTAATAATAAAACTTCTCATGGATAACTTACACAGATTTAGATAAAATTTATTGGTCCTACTTCACAGTATATATTTTCCCATCTTCTCATGTGAAATCTCATATGCGAGAAAAGTACCCAAGTATCACATCTTTTTTTCCTTCAACAATGAGAATTCATAGTGCCAACCACAAATAATTGAGATAAGACTGATGATGACTACATTTAATTCTTGTTGTATATAGATTACTATACAAGGAAACAAGCTTGATTCAGGTTTTTTTTATAACATCATTAAATAGGTGGAATTCTTGTCTTAAAGCACAATGTATTTACACTTCTACTTACAGTATTTACATATTCCATGTCCGAGTTTACACCTCCCATCATGCCCCAAGTTGTTGAGAATACTATTTTTTAGAACTGGGTGTGAATAGTGGAGAGATCAGTGGGTCTAGTTGTCGGGAAGAACAAATGCTATAACTAATTACATGATAAAAATGAAAATGAGCAAGAAAAAGTAGAAAAATGAATTAAAACAAACCTTCCTGTACTGGTATATTGCCTTTGTTTTTGCCAAGGAAGTGAATAATCAGGTTCAGTATGAGTACAATAAACCTAATGATAATACAACAATTTAGTATAAATAGTAAAAGTTCGTTCCAGCTTCAGTTACAACCCTAACAAACCATTTCTGCTTACAAAACAGCCAAAAAAATAAATAAAATCAGCCATCTGAAAATCCTTCAGATATTGCATGTATGTGAAACATAGAGGGCTATAAAAATATTACTAACTGATACAAAATGTAGGGTTATCATTCAGTAACAAACATTGAAGCATGGTTGTGACAACATGCGAGCATATTATCCACATTACATGCACTCATAATCAACCTGAATCTCTGCATATAAATTGGGTAAACATTGCATAGTTACCATCAAGTTGCCCAAAAAAAATACTCTCAGGCTGCAGACAGTGTGTTATCGTTACCATCAAATTGCCAAAAAAATTTTAAGGTAAATTTACATACATAATACACAATTCTTACTTATTTATATATTTAACACCTAAAGTTTGACATTTACACCTATATCACCTTGGAGTCATAAACCTATGTATGAAAATTTGTATTTCAATTTTAAAAGACAATGATGGTGGTTCTTTTTATATGATGCTAAAGATTTGAGTGGTATGCATGTAAATATGAATATTTAGGTGTTAGATATGCAAATACATAAGAATTGTGTGGCATGTATGTAAATGCCCTGAAATTAATCTAAGCAGCAGCGTACCTTCACAACAGCATTAAGAAAAGTGGAATCTTGAAAATCTCCTATGTCATTGACCTGATTAACCAAGTTGGTTCTTAGTAGGAATCTTTCAACATATATTTAGTTCTTTAGTAAAGTTAAAACTAAACTAGAATTACTCTAAACGTCATGAAGATATAAAATACAGATATTATTTGCAGCAGCAGGTGAGAATGTGGTTTGATTAAAAACATTCAACTATTATTTAATTATAACATAAATTCTCAACATATTCTCTTTTTAACAAGCACAGGAAAGTTATAGAATATATTTAGATCCTTCTGTAGAACCCTCGTTAAATTGATTCATAAATAGCATAAAGTTAGTGGCAGTATTTTGATGACTATGACGATGAGAAATAAAAGAACGCAATCAACACTTCCAAACCCATCTAGACAAATTTAAAAAAGAAATAGTTTCCAGCATTACAAAAGTGGTTAGAGAATTGCATTAATGAAATTGGTCCTAACATAATTTGATGGAGTATTTAGTATTCACATTTGATCATCTTCATGGTAAATTCATCAATATTTAACTTCAGTTTAGAATTTCACGCAGCATGACTTCATCCATATTCTATAACAGTAAAAAAATAACGCTGAGAAAACTTAACACAGACTGTTCAAGGTGAGAAAAAAAATATACATGATATTTTACAAACATTCCCTTCTCTTTTAGTTTCCCAAACACTAACATTCCAATTAAAACAAATTTTTGAGGAAGTTTTACTCAGGCCACTCCCTTAGTTTGGATATGCACGGTAACGAGCGAAAAGCACCCATAAGATGGGTAGCTAAAATTATTTTCATAGCATCACAAAAGAAGGGTAGAACAAACATAACATGAATAAAGTAGTGCAAAAGAATCTTTGAATAAAAGGTTTAACGAATAATATGCAAAATTCAACAAGAACAAACGGAGAATGATATATCGTAAAGCTGACATCAAGTAATTCGAATAAGACCGACAAAAATGAAAATGATGAATATGGTGTTTCATAAAAGATTAGCCATTAAATAATTCTTCACAAAATAGTAAGTATTAACTTTAACCCTTTCCAAGAATGAACATGGGGTTTCATTAAAAAAAAAATCAATCATTATGTAGTTTTTCACAAAATATTAAGCACCAAACCCTTTCATACTTGAATAACAAAGAGAAATCAGACATAGAATGGCGCATAATCATGGAAGCTCAAATGGATGGTTATTAAACCAACAAAGTAGGCATTCAACAATGTTAATCACTGTAACTCAATACTGTGAAACACATTAATGCTGGTCTGAAATATATCTTTATGCTGGCAAAATTAATGTAATTTTCAAAAAAATATGTTGAATGCCTTAAGAACTCTCGAATACAAGATTTCTAGCATAAATTTTCGTATTGGAAAAAATAAACATAAAAACAATTTTTTTTCTGGTCTGCGTTCATACAAAACTTAGGCATCATGAAAATAGCCTGTGAGCAAACATACAGAAACATCAGGAATATGTGCCAACAGCAAAAGCTAGCATAAAGTGGCAGATATAGATATCATTTTTTAAAGGTTAGATTAACTCCAATTCGAACTAAATAATATGCGATCGCATAGTGCAACCCTCACAACAGGTGCCACTCAGCTTCACGAAGATGAGCTCAGTGATGCAATATTCAAGAAAACTCAAAAATAACTACGGTTTTCAGAGCAAGCGCGACAAGCTGAGAAGGCGCATTGGTTTTAAAATAAACGATGGTAAAAATGAAAATAAAATCTCAACAAATAAGACGGAAACAGAACATACCTGTTGTTCCTTGAGATCGAAAATGAACCCCCTGTCCTTCTTTTGTAGTTCGTATGACCTGAAAGCAGCTGAGCTCGACTTCCCTGACTCCCCCCGACCACCATCAGGTGGAAGGTAAGTTCTCTTATCCTTTCCCGGATCAGGATACCTCTTTTGAGATAGAATCTCTACCTGCAATCAAAGAGTTCATAAATTCTAACTTAAAGGACAGAAGTAATGCAGCGACAAGTCTCGTATAATATGTTTCGATTACCGCTCCTATCCCCCGGCCAAAGGGGCGCCGGTAGAAAAAATGACGTCTAGAGTGGGGCCGATTGTCATAAAAGGAGAAGAAGGGGACCGCTGCTCGTGACAGGGAGGCATAGAGGTTCAGGGCAGGAGAGGAGCACGAAGGAGGGGCTAGAACTGCGGTCATGGTCACTATCACACAGATAAAGAAGAATGGAGAGAAGGAAGAGAACCCCAGGGCCTCCGAGGAAGAAAGTGGCAGCCGGATCTGTGTTGGGCAGCTCTCCTTATCCTTATTTTGCTCGGTGATATTGTTTGCATAAATAAAGCCAAAAAAAAACAAAAACAAAAAGAGGTTGAAAAAAATAATACAACAAAAAGAAGCACTCCATCTCATAATGAATTTCTTTTTTTTTTAGTATTTATTTAAATTTTATCCTCAAAATGAATCAAGTCTCTCATTGAAAATTAAATTATATTTAATATAATTAATACACATTGAGGAGATATCATATATGTGAATTAAACTTACAAAATAAACTTTGAGCCCATCTAAACTTTATTTTCAATAAACTCATAGTTAAATTTGTGTATATCTAGATGAAATGAATCTAATAAGTCGAAGTAGTCAAGTCTAACATCATTAATACACTTGTTGCGTGTCGAAAAATTCGTGACAGTAGAGTGATAAATTAATATCTTAGTGTCACATGAAATATTACACATGTAGATAATTGAATAGTAGTACGAGAAGGTATCAATATTTTTTAAGTAAAAAAACTCATAAAGAGAAAAAATCACTTGGACTAGACAAGTTAAAGTTATCCATTATATGTTTGTAATTACAAAGATGTATCATTTTCTCACGATTGAGATTGCAGGGTTATGATTTTATATTTGTTATAACACTTGTTATTATACAACGCATGTAAAACAATAGAAGTCTAGAAAAAATACATTAAATATTTTGTTAATTCTTCAATACGGAGTTATGTGTTATGGTCGTATTTCAAATATAAAGTCACGAATAGGGTGGCCAACGAAGGCGAGCAGCGCCAATCGATGAGTGGTGTTCTACAATGGTTGGTGGCAATAGAAGCCAAAAGTTGACGCCGAGTCTTCAATTCAGAACAATGTTGAAATTGAGAAGAAACAGAGTTTCAGTGTTATTCTTCTCTTCAATTCAAAAAAACACTCAATTTCAATTTTGACATTCTATGTTCATTAATGAATTTGAGATAGTAACGAGACCCTCCAAAAGATGCCACCAGAGAAAGTCCCAACAAATCTATGTGTACAAGTTACAATTTTCCTTCTTTTGGTGCTCAGCCACCTTTCAAGACATTGATCTTCTTCTGTTTCCTCATAATGCAACCCTCATGTATGCTAAGATCAATTAACTTCAGTTTTGATAGCTTGCTTCTGAACTGAAGTTCTTTCTACCCCTCTGACTCACGCGGCAAAGCCTACAATGCCACAAATCTGTTGTGCTCTTTGTAACAGTAATATCAACATTGTTAATTAAGCCAGTAGTTAAATATAGAGTACCAATTTTCTTACCCCGAGCCATTATCAGTGCCCCTTTTATGACCTTATAAGTGTTATCTAAGAACATTGCTAAATGACTACACTAAATGAGCTGCCCAATATAAATGAGGTTTTTCTTCAACTCAGGAGTGTGTCTGACCTTTTACAAGTCCATTTTTGCTTTTCTTATAAAGTGTTATCTCAATGTATCCCATCCTCAACACGTTTAAAGGTTCTCCATCAGCCGGATATACCCTCCCAAAGTCACATACAACATAATTCCACATTAACTCCTGCTTGAAAGATGTATGAAATGAAGCCCATGAATCTAGTATTTAGTCATCCACTGAACTATGAATTGCGAGCAATAATGTATCTTGTACTTCTTCAGTTAAAACATTAGCACTGACGTTCTTTGTCTTCTTGAGATTTTTGTAGTTCTTCTTCATGCGTCATGCTTTGTCAAAATTCCAACAAGTTTTTTGTTGATCATGCCTTGACTTTCTCTTGCCTCCGTGCTTTGATTTTGATCTTCCTTTTTTTGCGTTATTTTCTTGTGATCTCCCTCTATAATCAACATTCAGTGCTGAACTCAAACCAGAGATCTCGCCAGAATCCTTCATGTGCAGCTCCTTAGCCAAGACCAAATCACAAATATCATCATATTTCAGCTTATATTTACCAACAGAATTACTAACACCCATCCTTATGATTTTACAGCTATTTTGCAATAAAACCAACAATATCAGTGCACGTATCTCATCATTAAATTCAATTTTAATTGTCGATAATTGATCTGTGATAGTCTAAAAATCATTTAGATGTGCAACGGACATACAATCCGTCATCTTTAAGTTGAAAAACATTTTCATTATGTGTAACTTGTTATTCGCTGATGGCTTTTCATACATACCTGACAAAGCTATCATGAGATATGCAGTTGTCATTTCCTTGATGAAGTTGTGTGCTATGGATCTCGACAGAGTTAATCGAATAACCCCTGGAACTTGTTGATCTAACAATTCCATTCAGTCTCATCCATTTTTTCGGTTTCATTTCCAATAACGGAAGATGAAGTTTCTTCTCATAGAGATAGTCCTCTATCGACATCATTCTATAACCAAAATAAATGCCATTAAACTTCTCGATCCCTAATACTTTCACTTTGTCTCCAACCATCGTTTTTCTCAGACCTGAACCTTGGCTCTGATATCAATTATTGTGGAAAAATGACGAAAATAAAAAGAAAATGGAATGAGAAAATCGCAAAACAGTAACACATAAAGATTTATGTGGTTTGACAATTTGTCTATGTCCGCGGAGCTGCAGAGGATCTTATTGTTTGAAGAATTACACAGTCAAACACATTAACTACTGAAGAAGAAAACTCTCTCTCTTCCTCTCTCTCTACTCGTGAGCCACCGAAGAAGAACAGAGCAACAATATGCAATTTCTCTTCCTGTGAGCAACACGCTGAAGAAAACCAAGGGATGGTTGTTGTAGGCGATTCCTTCTTCCCGTAACTCTTCACCTTTGAGCCAACGTTGAAGAAGGACTATGAAGCACTGAAACCCCTTGTGATGCACTCCTTTGAAATCGCAAGTGATTTTATTCTCATTCGGGTCAAAAAGAAATTAAGGCTACTTGCCTTAATTCACAAAATCAGAAAAGGAAGGGGAGAGATCAATCAGTAAGGAGAGATTCAGACATACAACTAAAACTAGGAAAAAATAAATAATTTCAATTCATTACAAAGTTGCACGAAACTGCCAAATAGAAAATAGTGGATCGGGCTCCACAATACTCAACAAACTCGTGTTCAATTCATTCAGTAAATAAGTGAGTCATACAAGAACAATTACGTTGAGTTACATTTATTAAAGAACTTAACGAGAATGAACTTTTGCCAAATCGTGTTCTGTCCATTTTGGCTCAAATACTTTAAACAATAAAATGAATAATAATTAATAAAAACTTTTTATAATATTGATGCTTTATTTTAAAAATAATAAAATTTAAATTATTCTAGCTAAAATAAAGCTGAAAATGGGTCGCAAACAAACAAAATAATTCAAATTGAGTTGAACATAAATGGAACACAAGTAACTTGAAAAAAAAAAAGGACTTCTAAACAAGCTGAACACAAAAAACATTGAGCTCGTTCACACACTGCTTGTTTATATCTATAACTATTATAACAACCCCTCAACAAAATAAGTTTGAGATTCACTTAAATCATCAATACCTTACACAATCTTAAATCTTTTTAATTCTCATAAGAAACCTCAACTAAATTTTTTTTTTTTCCACAATACATCTCTTAACACCTCTTAAAGTAAACTTCAAAGTGGAGCCATGTCCTAAATGGCTAAATCTCCACTGAATTCCACAATCTTAATATATTACTTAAAACCGAATAACTTTAAAGCCTAATGTATCACTAATAATTGGTCAGCTTCCCCCCTTGCTCTCCTTGTCAAATAATCGTACAAATATCTGAAGGGTTATTCCCATGATGGATAAAATATTGCGTCCGGATTTCAGACACAAGTTACGTCCAGAGTTCGGTCGCTAGCTCCGTTCGAACAATGAACATAATACACTGGGGGTGATTTTTTTTTCTCATCTGCTCCGTCCGGTGTATCGCGTCTGCTGTCCGGACGTCATATTTTTTCCCCATGACGAGCAAAACTTATATACCTACTGCAACACTCTAATCAACCCTTGCAATACAAGATTAGATGGTCTTAACATTTTTACATTTATTTTGAAATATGTGAAATATTAATTCCTTATATGTTACAATCACCTTAAATCATATCCAAGACTCTTAAAATATGAATGACAACTTTTTAACAACTTGAATTTTCGAATCTTAGGCACATTATTATTCGGCTATCAATTTCTTATTATTTCTCAAAAATTTCTATCAAATGAGATTAATTTTTTTAGCTTGCTTTGCTAAGCATTTAAAAATAAAAAAAATATTATTTTAAAAAAATGATAATAATGATATTAATTTTTTTTTAAAAATATATTAAAAAGAAAGCACTAATATAGGCCATTTTAGCATATTAATTAGTCGAGAACTAAATTTTCCAACCAGAAAATTTTGAGTTGCATAATTATGATTAAATTATTGTAATCTTCTTAAAAAAAAACCTATAGACACGATACTAACCAAATTGCCTTAATATCATAATTCAGGCGATGTTTGGTAGCATAATTTAAGGAGAATTTAGTCATGAATTTATCATAAATGCAGCAAAACATTAAATAAATAAATAAATAAATAAAACACGACTTTCCGTTAAATCCAAAATTTTCATGATCCGTCATTTCTTCACAAATTAGATCTAGATACAGTAAATCCGATTGTGAGATAAATTTAAGAATTTCTTCTCGCTATCTCGCTATTCAGGTCATCTTATTGCTCTTGGAAGATTACACGATACCTCTTAATTCATATTTATTTAATGTTTTACGTATATCACTTTATATATACATATAAAAAAGATATATATCATCATTTAAAAGTTAAAATATAGATATTCATGAAATGATATAAAATATTTGGATGGTATCGAAGTTAAAATTAAAGTATGAGTTGGATATGTAAATACATGGAAGTTAGGGGTTATGTATGTAAATGCTCCAATTAATTTCGAAGAAAATTCCACCCTCTTCTACTTGAGTTGGTTAGGTAACCGAAAAAATATTATCTCAGGAGTACTGATGCATCAGTACTCCAATGATACGTGGCACCCCCTCATTGGAGTACTGATGCATCAATACTTTTGAGTTAATATTTTTTACAGGTAACCTGTAAGTTTTCAACCCCTCTTCCCTAAGCACCGCAATCTCTTGCTTTCCCCTCATCGGAACCCTAATCTTTCTCCTTGTACACTCTTTTTCCCACGAAATTCTTCTTTCTCGCCTCAGCCGAAAAGTTGTTTCAGAAAAAAAAAAACGTTTGGTATGGGGAACTCGGAGAAGCTGATGAACCAGATCATGGAACTCAAGTTCACGGCGAAAAGCCTTCAGCGGCAATCGCGCAAGTGCGAGAAAGAGGAAAAAGCGGAGAAGCTTAAGGTGAAAAAGGCGATCGAGAAGGGAAACATGGATGGTGCGAGAATCTACGCGGAGAACTCAATCCGCAAGCGCAGCGAGCAGATGAATTACCTTCGACTAGCCTCCCGCCTCGACGCCGTCGTCGCGCGCCTCGAAACCCAGGCGAAGATGCAGGTCATTGGAAAGTCCATGGGTTCCATCGTTAAGTCCCTCGATTCAGCCCTCGCCACTGGCAATCTTCAGAAGATGTCGGAGACAATGGATCAGTTTGAGCGCCAGTTCGTCAACATGGAGGTTCAGGCTGAGTTCATGGAGGGTGCCATGGCTGGATCTACCAGCCTTTCTACTCCTGAGACCGAGGTCAACAGTCTTATGCAGCAGGTTGCTGATGATTACGGCCTCGAGGTGTCGGTTGGCCTACCCCAAGCCGCTGCGCATGCCATTTCCTCCAACAAGGAGAAGGAGAAGGTTGATGAGGACGATCTCTCCAGGCGCCTTGCAGAGCTTAAGTCCAGGGGTTAGATGAAGATTATGAATTTGCTATGTTTTCTTTAAGGTTTATACCATACTGGCTTGCTTGTTAACCTTTCGAGATGATAGCTATTCGCTTTTTATTGTCTCCTTATGTGCATAACCAGGCGTCGCCTATTATACCTGAATTTTTACTTTATTATTTTGTGATTTCGATGGAAAGAAGTCTGTTTAATGATTTGGCATTGTATAATTATGAAATTTGGACAGAAAAAATATCTCTCCTTGGAAAACTTTGTTTGCTTTACGTTAGTGCAGCTGCGGCTTGGCTTGAATTTCTCTCCTTTAAGTTGCTTAACCTGCCTTGGGTCATGTGTTACATACTGGTAATTTATGCATAATGAATATGCTTGTATGTTTCTTTTTTTTTTATTATCAATGAATGTAGTTGTATATACAAATTTCACAAAACTTTTTATTTTTGTCTTCTATTTGTTTATTTATTTACTCTTGCATTAATTTTTTTGCTTCTCTTTTTATGCATGGGTAGCTTTAAATAAGATTCTATATTGGTTTTAATTATATTGACTTGATCTGTTAGGGTTTCCCCATGGCGACTTCATTATTTTCTCCTTATGTTGGGCTTGACCATCATCTTTAGTGTTTCTTTCATGCCATCAACTCATATCGGCTTTCTTTTGATAAGCTTTTTGTGTTGAGTCACTTGGTGTTACTTCATGTCCTATATATTGAATCCATCAAATCCTCTCGCTAACTTCTGTCCCAACTTTCTTTTGCCAAGCCTCATAAATATATTCCTATTTTTCTTAGCTTTCTAAGATGTTTTTCAACGAGTTTCCTATCAATCTACTATGCAAATTTGATATAAATTGTCATAGTGGCCATGTTAATGAGCATTTGGAGGATTGGTTGTGTGGCTTTCGAGGTAGATAGCAGACTACTGATGTGGAGTCACATGAGTTTAAGGTCCGTTTGGGATAGCTTGCTGGCAGCTTTGCTTTTCAGACCGCTACCACAGTTCTATTTGGCTATACTTCAATCGAGCTTTGAAATTGAATGTGATCCCTTTGATCATTTAAAAAGCGATGAATTTTTTTTTTGCAATCAATTGTAGAGTTGCACCTTCCTGCTTCTGTGATCTTCTCATTTCAATAAATTGTTGACTTTATTTTGATTTGGATCAGTATAAATACTTCATTTGCACTCGGGTGGATTACTTCACTTAGAATATGAAGATACATACTAAAAAGCGCAAGGCCTCGAAGGAATATGTTGAGAGAATGTTTGATGATATTGAACATGAGAAAGAGCTAGGAAAACTCATTGGACTCTTAAAAGGATATCCTTTTGGCTTATTGGGTTGCAAATTACTTGTTGAGAAAATTAGGATATTCACATATGCTATTGTACTTTAGTAGTTCGTGGACTAATTCCATACTTTAAGCTTAGCCGATAAATATTATCGTGATGCCTGATTGATCTAGAATCAATGAAACCAAAATATTATTGTATTGCCATATTATGATATTAAATTGATTCAGAATAATGATGTGATATACTATGGAATCACTAAGAAATTATGTAACCTTTGCTTTCATGAAATTGCGACTTCTCCTTGTATTTATGCTGCTTATCTTTGTTTTTCTTTGAATTCAACCAATAACAGTAAATAGAATCATTGTTAGACACAAAAGCGAAGATCAAACAATAATTGTATTGTCTTGGTTTCTCGTTGGAGATTGGAGTTAGCGACAATAATGACATTATTGTTGAAATTCTTCTCTGGTTGATCCTAGTGAGTAAAAGACAAGGATTGACCAGGCTTTGCTTTGTCTTGGGTTAGAGTTGAGAGGTTCTGGAGGTGAGTGGAAGAGGAATGTGAAGAAAGACTAATGCTAATTGAATGGGAATGTTCAATTTGATTTCATTGATCTTAAAGGCTAGTTACGTGAGTGACAGGGTTCTTTTGATTTCCTACTCCTTGATTTGCCAGCCTTTTCTTCTAGGATTTTTTTTTTGTTGTTTGGATTGATTTTGGAGTTAGCTTTCACTTATCCATAATCTCCTTGAATAGTGACTGCAAGTCTTACTTGAATTAACTGATTTTTTCTGCTAAGTTTGATTTTTTTAAAACATGAATAAACCCCAAAGTTTGAAATTGCTGATACGGGTGAAAATCAGGCATGGATTTTTTTATATTTTTTGACCATCTGGCATGTGTTGATGTCCTATGTTGATATCATTGGTTTCTTGCTTATTTTGAGCTTATCTGGAATCTGTTAACGTTAATTTGAAATGGCCAAGGCTCAATTTGCTGATTTGAGTGAAATCATTCTTGAATTTTTTATTTTTGACCATCCAGCATGAGTTAATATCCTCCTTAATATCATTGGTCCCTTGATTATTTTAAGCTCATATGGAGTTTCTTGATATTGATTTGACATGGCTGTTCCACCTATTTTTTTCCAAATTCAATTTAGTCTCAATTGGATTGACTTTGAGTTTTGAGAATCCATTGGATCGGTGATGAAGGATATAGTGTGTACATTGTGATGAAATGTACAAAATGAAGTGCATGCATGATCCCTGAAAATGTAGATCAAGCACCAAGTTTTTTTTTTAATAGATATTTTAAAGCACATTAAGCTGTCAAGCTTGTGTATTTCTTTTCTGTATTCCTACATTGAGTTAAAAATATCACTTGAATCTCATTTTGTATTGTTAGAAAATCTTTTGTACTTATCTAAAGTATTTTATAGGGTTGGTCAATTAGTTTACCCCAACTTTTTTGGCTGAGCTTGATCAGTTGAATTTTGCAAGGAAACTTGATGTTTTACTGGGCCATATTAAGCTAAAATCACTTTGAACTCTTAGAAACGATTTTATCCTTTCCGAGTTCTCATTTCTTATTGGAAACTCTCCTATTCCTTTTTAGGGGTCGTTCACATTGGAGTTTTTCCAATCATTCATTATGAACTTGATCAATTAGACTTTGCCAACTTATTTGGTTATGTAATATTTTGAAACTTGATTATTGGAAACCACGTTAACTCTAAACTTGTTAATCAACTTCACACATGCTTGACATACCCCTCCTGGAGCTTGCCTAAGGTTGTTGCGACTGAGGTTGTTAGTTAGGTTCAATAAATTTTGATTTATTCACTTGAGACCTACCCATTTCTGTTGGTCCAACTGAGCTTGAACTGTTGGACTTGATGATTGTGAATGGACTGGCTGAAAACCTGCGGGATTTTGAGTTTTTTTTTTGATTAATTATCATTTCTTTCCTATTATAGTTGTTATAAGTTATAAGACAACCATGAGGAAATCCTTTGTTTGCAGTGAACAACTACGTTGTTATCTGAAAATGATATACAAGGTTTTTGGGGCATTCTTATGGGACCTTCTTACTGAAAATCCATGGTTAGCACCCAAGCTGAAAATTACTTTCATCATTTGAACAGTCCACATATTACATAGGAAATTATCTCATACGTGCCTTGGGTATAAAATAAAGCCTCTTAGGTACTCTACACTATCTTATGCTTGGCAAAATCAACGACAGAGCATACAACAATCCATTTGGATTGTTCTCATTGATGCCCCTTTTTTGGTTACATAAGCTGAAATCCTTTCATGGTTGGGTGCAAAATAAGAACAAGTTCACTTTCATAATTACATCCTTGCACAATATTTCATCTTTGGAAAATTTTTTGGTTGTCATATTGCTACGTGTAGCGTGAATATTCAATTTTATTCTCTTCTTCATATCAAGACATCCCCTTCTTTATAATGACCACCATGTTTATAAATGAAAGAGCCCTAATAACTACTAGAAATATTCTCATTATGCAAAATTTTCATTGATTATCTAATTTTGGAATCCTCTTACCCAGCCATTATCATTACTGTTGGAATATAAATTTAGTTCACAGGACCACTTTTGAGAGGATTGCTAATGAAGAATGCAAAGTTTGCCTCTTTTGACACCCATTAAGATTTGTGAATCTTTGTTATAGCTCACAAAAACTGTAAACTTAAATAGAACATTTACAAAAGTTTAAATGCAATTCTTGCAATTGATTATAGTACAAATCAAAATATGAAAGTTTGACGACACGCAAATATTTTTTATTTTGGATGACTAAATTTTAAGGTTCTAATCAATTCTCCCTTAGTTGTTGATGTTGATATTTTCCAAGCTCCGCCAAATAAATCCGTTATACACACCTGAACGTCTCTTCTTCCTTCTGATTCGATATCTTTGATATGTATCATCAGTGTTTATCGGTAGTAGGCTTGTAATTATTATAATTAATTGTTAGTTGTTGACAAACACTCTTTTGTATGAATAAGATATAGTTTATAAAATATTTTGCAAATAATTACATTTATGCTATGAATGATTCATTTGAACCTATAAGCTTCTAGGTCGATATTCATTGATTAGACTGAACTCATGTCTGTTGATTTACGACCGAATGAGTTATATCCATGTTTAACCATATTTAGTGTTAAATAATAATTTAGTGTATGATATCCAATTAGACATTGCAGCAAATATCATAAAATTTGATTTGCTACTTTTTATTTTATATATTTATTTGTGGATGATAAGCAATGGAAAAGAAAAGTTGCATGCCCATTTTTTCCAATATACTTTTCTGAAGTTAACTTGCAAATCTGACCGAAACAATCACTTCTGAAAACACATATCTGAGTATTTCATCAAAGAATAATCAACTAAGGCATCTATTTGGTATTGCAAAAAAATAAAGTGGGCCATTTTACATAGGGAAATTTACATATCACACAATTATTATGTATTTGAATAATCCAGTCTTTTTTCTTACCATTATTGTTGTAATCTTTTGAGTTAGCCCCCTTATATATTTGAGGCTACTCCAATTCTTAGGATTCCTGTTGATTTTTAAAAGTAATTGGGTCTATTTGCTCAAATATATTATCAGACAATGGAAGTTTATTTCTCCAATTTAAATAAAAAGTTTATGCATTAATAATGCTCTAAAATTTATGTAGTCTAACTTGCCGTGTGATTTGCTTAAAAAGGGAGAGTAAAATGAATACCATTTATTTAAAATTTAGTTTATATGAAATATTTTAGTGTTTTTGATTGGGTGCAAAGTAAATGCAGGGGATTATTTTTTTTAATGTTGATTTTTGAGTCTTTTAAAAAATGATGCAAGCAAGTCTTAG